CAGGAAGCAGATTCTGGAAGTTCGGTAGCCTTTGCAGGTTTTGCCTTGAATGGCAAGTGATGTGGGATTGATTGGGAAATGGGAGAGTTCTCTGCTCATCCAGAAACAGTAAGCTGTGAGCTGTCACAAAATGTATTAGCTGCCGTTCTGCCAAAATAAGTCTGTTAAAGCAAATGATTCTTTGCTGCTTTGCATTCTGATAGCAGCCTGTGTGCGTACACCGCTGGCGTGCATGCACATCAGAAAAGTAGTTCCAGGCCTTCTGATGTGCGCAAGCGGACGTGTCCATATGTGCTGAAGGAATGCACGCAAAAGGACATCTGTCTGTAATGTACAGATCTGATGTATTCTGTACACTGACGCCGTGCTTACGTAGTCTGCGTGTGCAGATAAATGATCACAGCATTTGCTTCCGTGTTTCAGTTTGAAAACCTCTTTTTGAATTGATGTCATGAATTTTTCTACGTTTATTTGGGTTACATTACACCAGGATCAGTAAAGAGGGAGAGGCAGGAGATTTTATTGGCTAACTTACGTGAGACAAAACTTGCTATCTTTCTGCAGTAGAAATTAAAAGACTTCCTAGAAAAAAAAAAAAAATACCGAGTTACTATTGCCTTTAATAGTTTTCATCTCAGGGGAACCTGGTCCAGCAGACAGATTTCAGCTGCTCACAGTGCCTGCTACACAGATGTTTCCCTGCTCATCGGTTAAACTATCCGCTGTAGCCTCCTGTGAAGGGGAGCTTTACTCAAAGTCCAGATACAGGACATGAACAGAAATACATGGCCGCTTGAGCCGTGACCCTCTCTGCCATGCTCTTGGTAGGTGGGTGATCTGGGGCACACCGCAAGGAGCAAGTCTCAGCACATCGTTAGGCTGGCCGGTCGCTTTCTGCCTGCAGCAAAACTTCTGTCCTCTCTGGGGCAGAACAAGCGCACTTGTTATCTGTGATCAGGAGTAATAAAGAATGTGTTCATTCATGCACCTTTCATTTAAAGATAGATCCCCTTACCGCCACCCTGTTTCTCACGGCTTGATTAAATGCTGCTCTCCAGTTTGGGGGAGTGTGCATGTAACACCTGAAGTCAGTTTCTGTGGTAAGTACAACTTTATTTCATACCTGAATTAACAACATCTACTATATTTTGTTGTCCTCTGCCTACCCTTCCCTCTCTTGGCATTTCAGCAGCAAACGCTTTCCTACTCCTGTGTGCCTGGGACTCATATTTTTTGTGTGTTTTTAATGTGTGCTATGCAGCAGCCATTGCATTTAAGTACCCAGTTTCTTACATCTCTTAGTAAGACTGAGAATGGGGGAAAATTTTAAGGGATTGAAAAGTCCCATTTGTTCGAGTTCAGGACAATGTGAGAAAATGTCATATTGGGATATGCATCACTGTACCTGCAACAACAGTTTTCAAAGTAATTTCTTTGTTTCGTTTACCTCTTGCAGGGGCTGAGTGTATATGGAGCTCAAATGTGTGTGTTAAATCGCAGACCGCGTGCTCTGGGGTGTCATTCTTATTGGGCCTTTCTGTCTTTTTTGTTTTGCTGCCCAAATGAGATATCTGGAAAAAGGCAAGAGCTCCCTTTTCTTAAATGTGCCACAGGCCATTTCAGCTCTCAGAGCAACAGGTAACTCGCCAGACAGCCTTCTCTGGCTCCTGCATCCTGTCCTTTATACTGATCTTCAGCATTCAGACTCATTAAACATTTCTCTGGCTGGGCATTATGGAGTGAATTTGATGAAGCAGCTTTGTGTTACGCTTTACCCATGAAGCCATCGTTTGCTGTAACTTTTTCTAAGGAGGCCTAATTCATTTGCTGACGCACTCCCATACAAGACTGGGGAGGGCACGTGGGAGAGGAGCTGCTGCTCGCTGCTGGGGCTGTTGCTTTCTACATTGCTTCAGCACGTAATGATGCAACCTCCTGTATGGCGTCCAAGTAAGTAACACGGTTCGAAGGGCAGAAGCTTTGTCTGGCTGGAGCAATCTGTGAGCCAGTACGTCGCTCCCGAGTGTCAGGGTTCAAAGCTCATGGTTGAAATCATCATCTTTTCCCTTTCTGTGTGTCAGCACCACGGCTGCGATTCAGACACCTTATCAGTGGTCATCTCTATTGCACGTGCTTTCTCCGTCCATCTGCTCTTCAGCACTTGCTGAGGGAATGACTTTGTCCCTTTGATTGAGGCGCTTACTGTCTAGAGGAAGCGTTATTTGAGGAGGTTTTTGTTGAAAGCTTCATCAGAGCAAATACAAATTTACGGTCCTTGCAAATCTGTGCATGGTTTCAGTCGCTGCTGAAGTAGGGTGGCAGTACTTCTTGTTTGGGGTCTTGCAACAGCCAGAGCCTGTTACCCTTTCTGGTGTGCTCCGGCGTGCAGCCATGCATCACTTGGGCTGTCATCACCTCCAGTCCCCATGCAGCTGGAGGCACTTCCGAAGGGATCCAGACCAGCGTACTGGCGCCTGTAGACCTTTGTGCACCATCCGTCAGCATGTAGCCTGCTGGTGTTACTTGCTCTCAGCGCTCTCATTTTTTCTGTTACTTAAAAAAAGTCTTACTGCAAGTCTGCCAAACTAGATTGAAACATCTTCTCTAAGGACATCTTTTCCGCTGTACCATTCTATAAATTCCATAGTGTTCTTTTTCTTAGAGCAGTTTATTAATGCTTTTAATGGCAAAGGCTACACTTTGGCCCTCTTTCCCTGCCTGAATTTGAGTGTGGAAAAATGTGAGCCAAAGAAGATCACCTTCTAGCATGAAAGCAGTGCTATATTGTTCACTTAAAAGCTCTCCTAGCAGCACTTACTCAGTGGATTTCTATTTTCACGGGTCCTGATTTGTCTAGAATTCTCCCCTGGTCAAACTGTGTTTTAAACTGCATTTGAAAATTTGGAGGGTTTATTACACCGAGCTTTAAAGAAGAGGAAATACCAGCCCCACGCTCATGTTGACACTTTATGTGGTTGTAACAAAAGCAAATCGAAGTACCACTGAGTAAGGAACTTACTCAGAAAGAAAATAAGTTTTAAATGAGGACCAAGGACTTTTAAGACACGGGAGGAAAGGCTGCAGTACAGACTATCCCGTAAAGAATTAGTTAGTTGAAAACAATTAGTTTTAGGTCCTCTTGAGAAAGCAATTCAGAGGCTTGTTTAAGAACAGTTATTTTAAATTCTAAAATAAATGGATTACCTCGGTCTCGTATCTGGCTTGATGCATACACCGATTCTGGCGCTTCATGTTTAGCCCTGGTTTGGGGAAGAAGCAGGGCTTTTGCACCACCACCTTAGTGCTTCCCAGGTGTCGGCCTGGCCGTGGATTTGCTTGGTTGTTGGTAGCAGTTAGAGGTACTTCGGTTCTGCTTGGGCTGTGCTATGGTGCAGATCCCACAGCTGAGCAGGGCTGCCTGCAGCCAGCTGCCAGAGGGGAGAACTTCTCTGACCTCTTCTGAGCCAGGAGGAGAGATTATCAGCTGCAGACTGCAGGTCTTCATACCTACCGAGCAGTGTATTCTACAAATAAAGGACTTGTACCTACTTGCACTCCCATTTTTTAATGTAACATTTGCACAATTGTGTATGCAGAACACAGAGGTTAGTTTAATAAAAAAATGTGGTAGCTTAATAAATTGGGATGGTCATCATCTTGAAGTCTAAATGCTGGGAAATGCAGGGTTTGTTTTAAGCCATTGCATACTAAACAGCATCTTTCAGTAATTTGCCCATGACAAATTTCAAAGTCTGTAAGTGCTGTAAGGAAATTCTGTACTAGTATGTGCTTGTGGTTTTAAGCAGTAATTATCATTGCACTTGCAACATTTTTATAAGCCTGAAAATGTGCAAACCAATGTAAAGCACACTTGACCAAGGAAAGTGTTGCATATTTCTGGATAGGATCTGTACTAGTGCAAATGTGGAGTGCTGTAGTGATTAACTTCTGTTGGCATGTGTGTTCCAGTTCAGCAGATTCAGTAGGTCTGCACCAGTACAGATACTGCATGCTGTAGGTTGAACTTTGCAGCAAAGCATGTCTTGCATTCTTCCAGCAAAAGTGCTTTGTTAGTGTAGCCCCTGCATGTTGAAGGGCTAAACTAAGGTGTAGCATGTCTCAGTGAAAGAGCCACCAGCTTATCTAATGTGCATGTTCTCAGTGAGAGATCTATAACAACAGGTTAATTTTACATTACAGTGCTGAAGTGCAACAGAAAACACTTGGAAGTTGCACTGCAAAACATGCATTAATTGATGGTATCTTGAACATAGTTAATCTAAGCCTTAAAAATGGCTTAGTGCACAGAGGCACACTACCTTTTTCTAGCACAGCAGGGATCTTGGCTCGCCTGTAATAGAAATAGTAGTCATAATTTCAAGGGAGAGGCTGCTTTTCTGCTGCAAGAAAAGAAAGAAAACTAAATATACTGAAGACAGTCAGTTTGTCATTTGTGAGCATTTTCAGTTCACGGTACCGGTCCTCCTACGCTTCCTATAATGAAAAGACGACCTGGACATACCCAGCAGGTCGCACCATAATTCACCAGAGGCTTGCTGCTGCCTTCTGTGCGGTGCTGAAGCCCCGCTCCCCTGATGTCAGCAGGGTCTTGTAGACACCAGCTTGCACAGAGCCAAAATTTCCCCATAGAAAATTCCTCTGAAAAGTTGTAGCAGGCATTTGGGCTTGGCACGGCACTGCCCAAGCAGGAATTCAGAACCAGTGATGCTGCTTGCTGCCTTTCCCCCTCCTCAGCCTGGGGCTCGGAGCACTTGGCATCTGGGAGAGCAGTACTGAGGCACCCCTCTGCCAGAGTCGGCTTTCAGAGGAGCGAGCGGCCCCTCGGATGTAGGTCTGCAGGCTCTGAAAACAGCATGTGCATTTGGACTAGCAGAGCCCTCTGTCTTTCCATACATGACATTCTTAAGCAGTTTGATGGAATTAAGGTAATTAGCAAAGGTCTGACCTGCAGGTTGGTTTGTGTGATTTATTCATTGGCTCCTGTTTTCTCCCAGTTCCACAAATAAAGAGAATGCTTTTTGAGTGCTAGAGCTTTGAGTCAGCTAAAAGAAGTAAAGGCAGCCAGCTTCCTTTTGACTGTGACTCTGAGTAATATGTGCAGAAAAATGAAGAAACGAAGCAGTGACGCAGAGGTGTGTTTATAGGGGTCAGTTTATAGCCTTCATCATGTCCTAATGTTAGCAGGCTGGTGCAAGAGCCGAAAGAGAATGTGCCGGTGGAAGTCTACGTACAGAAGCTACAAACTGGCGTTGCTGTTGCTCGGCTCTCCTGACGTCTTTGACTACCTGTATTTACTTAGGCTGTATTAAATTCATTCGCACTTAGTTGGATTCTGTTACAGACTTGCAGCTCTGACACAGTTCTTTGTACCACACCTTTGTTAGTTGTCCTTACAAGTTTTTTGCTGCATCAGTTGGGCACGTACATGCTTTGCTAATCACCTGAATTTAGGCCGTGTTCTGCTCCTTTTGAGGGGGGCTTCCCCTCGCAGTAGCAGAGGGAAGGTACGTGGAGGCAGGTGGCAAAGGGATCACACGGTAGAAAGGAGCTCCCTGCAAAAGGAGGCAGAGCCAGGCTGCCCCAGGCCCAGCTCGGCACCTGCCTTCAGATTTAGGGGCAGCACGGGGAAGCCCCCGTGGATTTGTTCAGTTCCTTTGCAAGGAGCCTTCACTAACGTGCAGCTGGTTTGTCAGCCTGAGCAGAGGATTGGTGCTACTCCAGCACCGATGCAGAATTCTGCTTTGCTTGGTGGGATTGAAATTACTCCCTTCTCTTCATCCTTTTAATTTCCTTTTTAATTATTTCAGTTTTCAGTGATTATTTAGTTCTTATGCTGACAAGTGCTAGAGAAGGTAATGTATTGCATGCATTTTCAAGAACTGAGAACTGAAGCATCAGGCCACATCTAGGGAGAGTGACTCTTCCACGTTGTAGGTTCATCTCCCTTGGCACGCAGTGTCCTTCACTGCTGGCTGGGAAAAATCATGACTCTACTACCAACAACGTGCTAGAAAATACAGCCGCTGGCAGCTGGAGTAAGTGTGAAGTAAATTATCTTTCTTCACAGCCACACCGATTCTTCTAGTCACCTATAAACACTTTCTTACCTAAGATTCTGTATCGCCATTGAGCTCCCCTTGTAAGTACAACTGAGTGATTTGTCCCTGCTGTGCTGGGCATGACACCGCCTTGTCCCCGCTTCAGCGATGGATAGAGAAGAGGTCCACGCTGAAAAGCCCCTTTGCCATGACAGCTGGGATAGCAGGCAGCTGCAAAACCAGTTAATGAACAGCAGGCCAAAAAACCCCCAAGTGATTAAATAGGCCCAGACCAGAATGAAGTCCAGCTGTGGTTACAAAGATCAGAAAAAAACAGTAGCTGGAAATAAGTGTCTCTTTCCAAATGTGTTTTGTCTCGGATTTGTAGTGGCCCCTTCTTGCACTTCCAGCTGTTTATGGTGTCAGGAAGGTGTTGCCCTCCTGTCCTTTCTCTGGGAGCTGGCCCTTCTGCGCAGGAGGTTAGAGTGAGGAATCATCTGGGGTTTTCTGTCTTGAAAGAGTTGCAATAGAAGTGTTATATAGCTCCTCTTTGTTTTTTCAGAGTGAAAGAATTGAAAAAGGCCAAGGAACTTGAAGAAACGCAGCAGCATCCCGTAGCAATGTGACATTGCTTTTCAGACTGTTTTCATTTTCTGTTTTTAGCAGAGACATGCAACAACAACAAAAATACCCACTGCAGTTCTGGAAATACCAGCTGCAGGATTTTAACAGTAATGTTTTGGTCATTGCATTTGCACTTTCATGGACAACTTTTAATTTGTTCAGCAAGACATCTTGGAACTCAATCTTCTGTTGGATCATGGGGAAAACAAAAGACACCAGGAGGAAATTGCGAGTTGCTTCATTCTGCGAGAAGGAAGAAGCGATTAATTATCCTTTTCATATAGGGCTGTATTAAACAACATGTGGAACTGTACAAATATTATACCAAAAATATTGTTAAGAAAAGGTGGGAATGCACAAGCAACACAAGAATGCTGTTCCTGCACCTGTCAGTCATCTCCAAGAAACTGAAGCTTTGAGAGTCTCAGTGGAGGGGCTTAGATCAGTACATCTTTATTGGGTCCATGCATCCTCATTTCCTTCGCACTTCTGTCCTCTGTGTTTTATTTAAATCTCTACAGCACACTTAATGCAACTTTTTAAATCTGCAGGTTTTTAATACATCCCGTGGGAACTTAACAGAAGGGGTTGGTGTATGAGATAAACGGGTAATGCATGAGGAATGGAGAGAGCAGCTTAAGCAAGTTTTAAAAAGTTTTTTTGGTATTTTTACTAGAACCTGCACACATATCAATTGTCGTGTACTTTCTCTCATATTCAGCACTTTATTTTCTAGCCTTATTTTCATGTACTATTATTTTAATTAAGTTCGTCAAGTACTTTGTGAAACATGTAGCTTTTTATCTTAAGTCCTTGTCAAACCTCTTGTCATTTTGCAGAGTCACATACATATGTTGCCTGGACATTTTATACCACCTAAAGATCAGAGTGGTGCTGCATTCTGGCCAGTAAATTTCTTATTTTGGCTACTTCATCAAAATCTGGGCAGTTTCTGTATATATAGAAGGTAGAAATGGAAAATGAGAAAAAATATTTGAAAGGGAATATATTGATTAATTACTAAATATTTTATTCACAAAGGGTCAATAACTTGGCAAGATAAAATTATTATTTGTATAGTTTTGTCTGAATGAACGAGAAGAGTGTGGATGTATTGTTTGTACATATTGTATATATTAAAACAAAGAGATATGTGCATGAACTCAAGAAAAAGAAATGAACAAAGCAAAGCATTAGTGGCTATGGTCTGTAAAATGAAACAAAAACTTTATTTCACTATAAGAAACTTTATTTTAAATGTTCTTTAGAAGAACATTTTTGCTAAAGCATGACTAAATGGCAAAAAAGAGCTACTGTATTTAGACTTAGGAAAAAAAAGGCAGAGCAACATTACTTAAAAAAAAAAAAGGAAAAAAAAAAAGAAAAAAAAAGGATATGTTTACATTTGATTTTGGCTACCAGGAGTTTGGTTTGGTTGGATTTGATTTATTTATTCCTTCCTTCTTTTTTTTTTCCCCTGTCTTTTTTTTTTTTTTTTTTGCCAATGGTGCCAAGTAATGTGAATGCTAATATTGCTTAAGAAAATTAAGTTACTTTTGCAAAGCAGATAATCATAAGAGTACAAAAACTGTATCTAGCTTAACACCATACACTCACTCCAATAAAGAACACTTAGAATGAACATAAAATGAAAAAAAAAAATAAATAGTACGAAAGTAGAAAATATGTTTCACATTTTCATATCTCCTGCTGGAAGTCAGAAAATGTTATAAAAATTGCACAAAAAATTTTAAAAAATTAAGTAAAACTTTAAAAAAAGATGCAAACTGATCTTGTAGGGGTGTCATGGTATATTGCTATTTCCACATAGTGAGGAGCCAAAGAAATTAGATTTTTTTTAAATTGAACTGCTAATTTAAAACTGTCACAATTCTCAACAACGGGAACCGGGTTCTGATCTTTATTACACAGGAATGTAAGGGAAGGAACTCCTGAAGTCCGTGTCGTTGCTGTGGGTTCTGTGCGTGTGTCTGAGATCAGAAACTGCTCCTGTGCGCTTGTTTTGCTCGTGGCAGTTTAAAATTTCTGAATGGACTGGTGTAAATTTGAGATTGTTAGGTTTGGAATAGTTGTTCTTGCTTGATCCCGGCCACCAACTGCAATGTGTAAACGCAAGGCTTGCTGTGAAGCCTAAAAATATTCACACGTAAGAAGCTTTTAAACTGGTGTCTTTAAAAGAAGAGTAAAAACAAAGATTGTGGCAAAAAAACTGGGGTCAGTGCTCTTGGTGCCTTTTCTATAATTGTACCTGTTTTTAATTACTTCTTTTCACTGCCAGCATTGAATTACAGTAGATGTGCTATAGCTCATTATCAGAATTCTCTTGTACATTTCTGAACTGCTGCTTTATGACCTGATTCAATTTAAAAAAGGGAAAAAAGAAAAACGAGTGGCTTGGCGTGCTCGCACTGTGCCTGTGGGCGGCGTCGTGGCCTCGATTTGCTGTATGGAATTGGGACCTTAACTGTTAAATTTTCCTCTCACCCAAAAACGGAACTGGAGACGTGGAAGAATCTCCCTTGGAATGAATTGGAAATGCTCTGTATTAATACTGGAAGAACTCTGGCATTCTGAAGCCGGAGTGTTGCTCCCATTAACCAGTACATGACAATATAGAATCGACCTGTTCCTAACAAGAGTAGTGACCTCAGTGGAAATGTTTTAACTCTCTGTCTTTGCAGAAAATCATTCAGTAATATACAGAGCTATTTCAAATTACTCTTCCAGATCCATGGGCCTGGTGGTGTATCTACTAATCTAGATCCTGCTTCAGCCAGACATTTAGGCCTGTACTTGCTGGTAAACATGCAAGCAGTTCCACGGGTGCAACAGAACTACTTGCGTGCTCGAAGCCAAGTACAGCTTCTAAGTGCTTTGTTGTGTCGGGCCATAACCCTTCGGCGTATCGCTGGGGAGTGTGAAAGACTTCCCCCTGCAGTGAAGTGATTCTGTTCACCCTTTTCTTGGTTGTGGAACTTACATTTTCATGGAAGATAAGTAAGTGCAGCTTTCTGGGAAAATTCTAATTCCCAGGTGCCAGGAGCCAGATCTTCTGTCTTCTGATAATGGAATTGCTCCTTTGTGAACCACATTTGACAGCAGTAATACTGTGTGAAAGAAATACAGAATATAACATGAACCCCCTCTCTGGTTGCACGCTTATGGCAGTTCCACACAATAGCTGGTGCCCAATGGGGGGTCCCCAAGACTTGCATGTAAAACTAGTATAGATGTCTTCTCTTTTGTAAGTTTTATTTTTGTAACCGTGCATGTAAAGCATCACTGAATCAATGGATCTGTTGAAGAACTCAGCTGCTGGAACCATGCAAAATGTTTTGAATTGCCCTTAAAATATGGAAAATGTTTTCTGAATGCTTTATATTCTTTCTGCTGTAAATTAAAAACAAAGAAAATTTCCCCATACAAAGCATGTGCCGTTTTTTAAACACATCTTTTCCATCCTAGTTGAAAAGAGTGATGTGGTCCTTTAGTCACTGCAAGGAAACTTGAAAAAATGTGTTCTACTACTACATGACCTACTTGTACGTGGCATCATTTCTTACGGGTTATAATGTGAATGGTCTGCAGCCCCCAGCATGGTGGGATTCACTAGAGGCAGCACTGCAGTCCTGGACCTGCAGCCCTTCCCGCTGCTGTATGCCAGTGCGTAGCCTTCGTCCGGCACATGAAGCAGCACATTTGAGAGGAGCTCGCTCTTTCTCGGGCAGCAAACTCTGGTGGG